ATGAAACACGAACTGCGTATAGTACGTTTTTATGCGATTAGTAAAATTTGATGTTCTAAAAAAAGGGGACCTGTCGTTTTTATGCGCCCGGACCTGTCTGTTTGTGTGCTTATCTGTTTGTATGTTTATCTGTTTGTCTGTTGTCAACTTTAACGTTCACCATAACTTACAAACCATAAGAGATAGAGACTTCATACCGTAAATCTGGAGATTTTTATGTCGATTTTATTTTGCGAATTCGCGTCAAAATGCTGTTGATTAATTTTTACGTTTCAAAATTTTGCGAATGACCACTGCTTTGTTTACATTTTCTTATTGTTGATTTATTTTTATTGCGAATGCAATGAACTCGCAAATTTGCTAAAAATTTATCTACAGCAAAATTTTCCAGATTTATGGTATTTGGTATGCATACTGCACTAACAAAGTTCTCTCAAATAACGTCAAGGTCAATGACCTTGTGATCTTGACTGTGACCTATATGCTAAAAATATCTTTTTCGACTTTTTGCCGTAACTTTTGAACCATAGGAGATAGGAACTTCATATTTGGTATGCATTCTCCACTAATAAAGTTCTTTCAAATGACACCAAAGTCAATGACCTTGTGACCTTGACTGTGACCTATATGCTAAAAATAGCTTTTTCGAACTTTGTTGCCGCCGGGCGCATAGTGTTTTTACAAACACGTCTTGTTTCGATAGTAAATGATAAGCAACTTTCTATTTTAAATATCAAAAACATATTTATTTTTACAAATTTACTTTATGTTAGTAAATATATTATGTATCTCGTAATTTATAAAGGGAAAGAACATTCTGATTAACAATCTTTTTAACGTTTAGAATACCTTTAATTATGAATAACTTCTCCCACCTCAATCCCCATACACAAACACTTAAACTTATATGACTGTACAGTGCAGCCCGGTCCTCCGGGTTGCAAAAAGAAGTGCACAATGGCATTATGTAATAAAGGTTCTGTGAAAGTATCATTACATTTTTTCAGAGGTATAGGAGAAGTGTGGATTAGAGATGGGTTTACCCTTCAATATTAGAAAGTATGACAAGTGTCCATGTTTTGGTAAGGGAGTCCAAATTACGTATTAGATTAAATAGTAAAATAGAAGGTGCACTAAGGTATTATTAAACAAAGATTCTGTAAAAGCCTCCTTTATTCAATGTGAGGAGTTGCGGATAAGAAATGGGTAAACCAAAGCGTATCAGACGGACGAACGTACAGCTAGACGGACAGACAGCTGGACGGACTGACAGACTCAGAGGAAATATATAGTCCCTCCGGTTTCACCGGTAGGGGACTAATAACTGGCGGTCCCAGAAATATATCTGGCGGCCGACACCTAACTTATCTGGCCAGGAAGTTATATGGCGGCTACGAGATCTTTTTATCTGGTGGCCGCCAGATGAAATATTTTTCTACCAGGCACCTACCGGCTTCCGTACCCCAGGATATAAGTGTGGACATTACGCAAAAAATGGAAGTAATGCGTTTCTTAGGGTATTTCCATCCTCATTTTATATCAACATTATTTGCAAAATCTTTCATTAAATGAACGAGAGACATAAAAAAATAAAATTTGTGTTTCTGGTTTTATAAATGTCGGAAACCGATAGGTGCCAGGTACAAAAATATTTTTCTGGCGGCTGCCAATTATTCATATGGCGGTCGCCAGATAATTTTTTTGTGTTCTTTAGCGTACTTGAAACAGTCGACATAGTTTTACAATGCAACAAATCTGAATCACCACTACGCGTATGTCTGCAGAAAAACCTCTGTAGAGACGGCAACAACATTCCAGGTATCGAAAGTTAGTTTGATATGAACTCTAACCTATACTATATGCTTGTTTAAAATGAATTATTAAAACACTGGAAGATATCGGAACATTTTCGTATTGTCATTTTACTAGTTCCGAATTCTAGTACCCACTATAAATACGATTATATATTCATTCTCCGTTGTTTTTTTCATTGTAAACGTGACATATATTATAACCCTGCTTAAAAAGCAGGGGGTATATAATGATGGGATGTTTGTCCATCTATCTGTCTGTAAGTCCGTCTGTCTGCCTTACGTCTGTCTGTCTGTAGATATGTACTCCTTGGTTTTCCGCACTTTTTTTTCTAAGCGCTTGCAGATATTGAGCTGATTTTTGGTACGTGAATGTACTTTGATATTTAACATTTCAAGTTTGAATTTTCCTCCGCTTAATTTTTGACGGAATTATGACATTTTTCATTATTTCATAATTCAGATCGGGTTCGTTATGCATTAAATTAAAGTTCTAAACGTGCTATTTAAAGAAAAGGGGAACCCGATAGGGGAAGTATTGCTTTTACAATACTCTCAGAATGCTTGTTAATTCATTTGAGTTACAGACAAAAATTTGTCTTTATAGTGGATAAGGAAAGATAAAACAGAAATCAAAATTATATTATCTTTATTTACAATTTAACAGCACTGAAACAAAAAATACTCAATTAATAAAGAAGTTTTCAGATTATTTGTGCCATGAAGACTGAAGTTCCAGGCTAATCAGTAATTATATTCACGGGTACGTTCACAATATTAATCTTGTAGATGAACTTTTTTTTCATTTACGAATTCGCAATCGTAAAACTTGATCGTATACTTCAAGTCCACCATCCGTTGTTCCTAGCGAAAATGGTACTAACTTGTACATCTCCTCACCCTTCGTCGTTTGCTTGATAGAGAAAAGATTTTCTTCAAACACCGCGGTATTCTTCTCATCAATAAAACATCATTGTACACTCCCTAATAAACCTCCTCGGTAAAATGGGGACGACAATCTCTAAAACTCACTCCTCGCTGAACATAGGATTCAAAATAACAATTTTTTCATTATCCTTAAAACCATGAAGTCCGTACAGGCCGGGGCATTCGAGCACAGTTACGATATTCGGATTTTCGAAGATGGAGGAGGTTTCCGAAATACAAGCTTGAGGGTCGTAATCTGAAAAATCTTCGTCCTCTACCTCCAATCTATGGTAAATGTAGTAAGGAATGTGACGTGGAGCCGAGTTCACCTCGCTTTGTGGTTGCTTTTCAATGTCCTCTGTATATGGACACGTACACATCTCTGCGAATTTATGATATACAAAGCATGCCAGGAAAGTTAAAATGATGCCTACGCCGTACAATATCAGAAGGCTTTTGATCAAAGGAAATTGTTGCTCTCCAGTTTCTTGGTCATCTGATTCCCCATCCTGCTGGACGCTTACAGATACTTGTATAGGTGCACTCATGCATACTGGCAGTCCCGTCGTTAATCCCGCCATAACTTGACCAAGAACTTTAGATCTCCCCATGGTTTTTGTTGCAGTTGATATGTTTTGCGTTACCATTTATATCGTCACAGTAGATGCGACGTCACAATGAAAGACGTAATATCTATTGTGACGTCAGGTGGAACAATCCATTTTAACGCGAGGAGTAGGGACAGTACATAGAGCCACAGGAAGACATTTGTTCATTTTACACTGAAGCGCGGATAAAAGAGGCCAAAACATATTTATTATATTTGAGAAATCAATTTTTTAAATGACCCATATTAATCAAATATCTGAAGCTTTCATATTATCTTGTAATATTGAATACAAAGAATAAACAGAATATTCGTATTATCTTAAGAAAGTGTTACTCAAAAGTCATGGATCTAATCAATTATTTTGCCTGAAGTCATTGGTAGTGCAATGTAAAAATAATTTTCGAGATCCATTGGAATTTAATCCCTCTCCCGAAAATGCCCGACAAATATATCAAAGAAGGAATAGTTTAGTTTTTCTAATATAATACAAAGAACATAAAAAGCATTCAAATAGTCATAAGAACACATGGTGGTGGGGGGGGGGGCGGTTTTTAGGAGGAAGGGGTCCCGTCTTCCAGAGATGGGGTGGCGGAAGGGGTCCTGTCTTCCAACATCTGTGTGGTAGGTCTCGGATGCATGCTTTTCAGGAAGCAAGCAAGGGTATACGCATGGATTACATTTCTTCAGATCTTACAGAACGTGCAGAGGAAAAAGGGAACACTAGTATATATTTCTTTTATTACATGCATATTATTTTTTATGCAATCTTTACATATAATTATATGTAAAATACAATCTGAAAACACTAAGCCGTGAATTTCAAGCTCGCTCTCCCCCCGTAGCACGACTGTGGTAAAATCTTTTAAAGAATTTGTACACTACAGACAAAATTTAATTAATTTTTACGAGTATTGAGTGTGCGCTCAGTGTTAAAAATTGAAAACGCCCTCAACCTTTTGAAATTATCTCGCCTATCTAAATCCACAGTAAACAACCAGGCAAAATCCTTTTGGATGAAAGAAAACTTGGTTTTTATTTGAAATAAATAAAAATAACAGTTGATGATCATAGAGTAGATTCGGGTCATGATTTATTGACATAACCTTCTCTGAACCTTTCAAAGCAGTTTCTCACATTTCTACAAGTATTAAGCTTTAACCTGTTTTTTTTTTTTGTAAGAATGTCCAATTGAAAGGTTCTTGAACAAATTTTAAAATTCAAAAAGCATTACATTACATACTTTTTTGGGCTGAAATTAGAAATCATAAACTTTAAGATGAAAACAAATGAGACCTTTTATGATTTTATTATCTTGCAAAATAAATCTGAATACTGAAATCTTTGAATGGCTAAAAATGAATTTTTGTTTTTAAAAAAATGTAACACCATCCAAGTTTGAAAGTAACGATTTATTTTTCAACAAAAAACAAAGCAACAACAACAAAGAAAATGAAGTAACGAAATGCTGAACATTAATGCTTATCAAATCAACAGTAACATTCTATAATAAATATGTGACATTTTGTGTCTGTTGCATTATACTTTACGTCACTAAACACAAATATTTAATTTAAACAAAAACAAAACAGTCCTTCCTTTTCGATTCTTATCGACGACTTACAAATTAATATACCCGAGTAAAGCATCATTTTGTGTCTGTTGCATTATACTTTACGTCACTAAACACAAATATTTAATTTAAACAAAAACAAAACAGTCCTTCCTTTTCGATTCTTATCGACGACTTACAAATTAATATACCCGAGTAAAGCATCAGAATCATTTCAGGGATATTTTTTCATGCTCAAATAATGCAATTTTCTTGGGAGAATTCAGGCATACGGTTTCACTATATGCCTGTCTGCAGATTCTGAATATCTTTCTTGCATTTTCGGGTTCACCCATCCTTCTGTGAAGTTCAATAAGAAATTGGTACACCTGAGAATCTGACTTTATTTCAGCTGCTCTATTAAATTTTTCCCTGGCAAGATCATAACTTCCATACGCCATTAACCATTGACCTTCATACTTTAAAATTGTTGAGTTTTTATTGTCCGATATGCTTTTACTCAACGTTGTCAAATATCCCTCTTGCTTTTGATCAAATGTGCGCTTTAAAACACGCATAGTTCCATATCTAAAAACTTCTTTATAACCTTGATTTATAAACTCTCGCGTTATTTTCATTACAAGGTAATTGTACTCTTTTTGTCTTAAGAGGCACTTTAAAAGAAAGGGTGTGTTGTGAATATGAATGTAATTGGAGACGTTTGATGTGACTGAAACTTTTCTGATGCCATAAAAAGATTTCATTGTTAATCGGATATCTCTGGAAAACTCTCTGAATTCTGTATTGATTAACGAAAACCATGGAATATCTCGATTTACAATCGTGTACCCACCCGTCATATGTATGTCTCTGTCAGTAAATAGACCTTTGACGTCATCTCGTTGACCAATGAAATGCAGGCATTCATTGACGTCATGACTGTCTGTTTTCCCTTCGTAAGTCCATTTTTTAATCGAATTATCTTGTGAAGACGGCATTAATTGGTATTGACCAGATACAAAACATATCAATAATAAACTGTGAAATATACGCTCTGTGTAAATGTTACTATTAAACAAGTTAATGTGTATTGAAACTTTTTGCACAAAAATAAACAGAGAAGTACCCGAGCAAATGTAAAATAAAACTATAGCATCATGTAAAAACCTTGCCTCTTTGTGACCTTGAAGGGAATATAATACAATAAGACAAGTTAAAGCAAATAAACATTTTCTAAAGAAAACAAGCATATCTGATTGTTTACTGATTGTAGAAATTGAAACAAATATAATACACAATGATAAAAATAACAATGTCAAATTCTCAAAAAAGATTTCAAAATAAAACAGCGTAGGCATTGCCCCAAACATGCGTCTTGCATATCCGTTAAGAACGTTAAAAGACACCCACTGTACGGGTGTCACAACAAAAATACCATAGGACAAGAAGTCCTCTAAAACACCAGTTAGAATTCCAGCAAAACCACTCACTATATAAAGATGTACTTCTAAATTTAAAATAATGTGTTTTAAGTTTAGCAACAGCGAGGGAATATAGGGAAACAAGATAGAAAAATAGAGAGTTAATAAATCTGGGCGCATGTAAATGAACAGTCCGGTAAAATACCCCGTCAGAAAAATCTTGCATAAACTAAATTCCCTTGTCACCGCTTTGTTCAAAGCTTGAGAGTTGGGTTGGTCCACTTTGCTTTGACAATGATGAACTCCATTGCAGTTGTGCATGACGTGGACGTTATTGTTGTTTTCGAATTCGTCCACACACTTCTTTTCATCTTTGTTGTAAATGTCCTTTTCTGATAAATGTTTAAAAAAGGATATCAGATACCCCAGAACAATAAATACAAATGGAGATAGAAAAGAGTTAAGAAAAGTATGTGTTCCAAACACCCAAAGATGTGCTGACGATGCCACGAGAATGCACGAGATTACGGAAACATCACGACTTCCGGTGAGATTTTTGCAAAAGAAGTAAGTAGCAAGGGGAAGGCATGAAGTTACACCAGCATGGAAGATTTTCCAAATCTGTAAATGTTGAAGAATACAGGTTTACATGTAAATTTGCGGATTTCTATAATAAATGATTTAAACATTCTCATAAAAATTAACATTCTACACATTATATAGGGATAAACATATACACATGTAGATACAATACTACAGGGCTTAGAGTTGCATGTAACAGTTCAAATTCTTAGAAAAACGAATTATAATGTCTTTGATTTTACTTAACATTTTATTTTAATTCGCCTACCACATATAGACTTCCATGATAGCCAAGCACACGGACAATACTGCCAACACCTGCCAGGATTCTGGGGTAAATAAATGACCTCAGAGCATACATTCCCAGCATCCTCTCCTGTGATCTTGCTGACGTCACGTTTGGTCCAGTGGCTGGAGGGAGGAATTCATAAGGTCGGAAACCATAACCATGTACCTCGGAAAAGGCAACTGCAATGTTAGCATAAATGCGTATCAAATCGAAGGTAATTAAACACAGCGGATAGAAGCATAATGTTCAACATGTATTGGGTCGGAGTTGGTGTGTCTCAACAATCAACAAGAACTATGATAACTTAGGAGGGGATTGGGAAAGAAAAAGTACTCCTAAGAATTTTACTAGCACCATTTTGAACCCTTTCCTCTTTTCTTTTCGTAAAATTTTTCGTGGCCTACCTTGTGTTCCAACCCCAGATACCACACAACGTACTGTAGAAGTACTTTTTTCCGCGTGGTATTAATTTGCGCTATGTACGCGGTCACAAATTTTCCGCGGAAATTTGTCCATGCGTACTTAATATAAATGTAAGGCATATAGTGACAATCTAGAAAATCCGCGTAATTTTCTACACGCAGATTAAACAGAAATTGAGATTCCGCGGAATTATGACCCCGTGGAAAAAAGTACGTCTACAGTATGTAGATATTGATTCAAATGGGACTACATGATACAACTTGTACGTATATTTTAAGTTTATTGCTTAGGTTTCTCCGCTGAAGCTGAAGAATGCTAAATACCTGTTGATTTTTAGTGCAGTATTTGTATGGTCTGTCCTGTTGGGATTCAAACCCCAGTCTACCGTTCGACCACACAAAATTGGCACTTACAAATCAAGATACTTATTTTGAAAATTGATTTGAAAATTCTGCCCTTATTCGCGCACGAAAGATATGGATATACATTTATTAGTGTGTAAAGAGCACAATTTGAATGATTGAACGCATGTAATACTAGCAACGTGGAATTATTAAACATCTGTAACAAAGATATAGATAAAGTCTTTCTCTTTCATTCAGTTTACGTGATCAGTCAAATTCAACAGGTAACCTAATTGATTTTACCTTTTGTATTATACCTCTGTCAGATTAAAATTGATAAGATTTTTATCTAAATCACTGACTACACTTAGTAAATCTCCCAACACGTTAACATAAACCAATTTATCATCTGTCCTTTAATAAAATCAGGTTATACCTCGAAACCTTAATACACTCCGATAAAATGCAAATGGCAAAATTTACATAAGCTCTTACACTAAGCTTTGAACTTTTTTTTTAAATCAGATATGTCACCTACCAAGTGGCAACATTTTCAAAGGATATACTTCAAAAAAAAAAAATCTTTAAATCTTAAAAAAGTTTTCAAAACCGTTTTATTTCATTCTTTTTTTAGGTTGACAGATCTAACTGAGTCAGCCAATTGCTGCAAAACAGTTTAAATGGTGCCAGCGTTTGGTTACAAGGGAAATATAATGAAGATCGTCAGAAGATGTAATATAAGAACATCCGTACTAGAACACCTCGCAGTATCGTAAAAATTTCGTCTTCACACTGGGTCTAAATTGTTACACCTCATCATAACTAGTGAAGCATGCATTAGGATTGAGATTACATAAACGGATTTCAATCAAGTATCTAGGACTTAGTGCGCCTAAACTTCCAAAAAAGATTAACAGACTGCTTAGTCCCGACAACGATTTATATTTCAGACGAAATAATCTTTCTATGTGTATCCTCTGAAAAGAGACTCATTTGCATGGAAACATACTAGTATTTTTCATGTGTATAAAAAATGTAAGAATATACAACTTTCCTGAAATCCAGATCCAGAACTTGAAATGAAATGTCTCTTGTCATTACTGTATCGCTCCTTGCAAGATTTATTTATATAATTCTTATGCAAAAATTGTACAATTTGTCAATGACAAGTATCAAAATTTTTGTAAAGGGCAGTATGATCCCGGACGTTGGATCTAATACCATAGAATCCTAGCAGCTTTAGATTTCAATTTTGCGTATTATCTAGCAGCGTATTTGCGTAATATCATCTTTTGCTTTTGAGGACCTAAACAGACGAAATTAACCGACAATATTATAGGAAAAATAGAGAACCTAACGCTGCAATTGCAATTCATCACTCAGCATATATTTGTTAAGGAGAAGTAGAAATCGTTGTTTTCTTCACGCAATTTCTAATCGTCGTTATAAAATATTTTGCACTAAAATAAAGAGTTGGTCTTTGCTTTCTCTTGATAGATTTTTAAAAATATTTTTCACCTGAAAAATCCACTCAAGAGTGAAATTTGTTTAATCGCAACAAACCTCCTCCCATAACGAACAAAGGGGGTAACGTTACACAAGATTTTGTGCATTATCATAACTGAACAAGGACGACATCTACCGGTTATTTGCCATTACAATAATGAACTACCGCGCCTGACAATGAAGTCTAATTTTTACTGGAAAGATAAACTTTGACAAGTAAATTAAATATGGATTTGCCTCCGGTGCTTATAGAAGTCAATCTGTGGTTAATGGACCAAAGACAAAATGCTACCACAAAATGGAACGACTCCATAAAAGTCACTTTAATCTGAACATCATCAGACATTTAGCGAATTCCACAGGGCCTTGCTTAGTATTGCCATGGCAAGGACTGGACTTTCGTTTGACCAAAAGGGAAAACAGGGTGGACATTTTGATGATGTCTTGAGTGACCTCCATTTGGACATGATTTTTTTTTGTGGGGGTTGAGGGTCCAATAAGCTGAATTATTTTGCTTGTATAAAATGCAATAGCACCAGTTTAGACTTCTTTTTGCATGCACAGTTTTCATTTTAAAGATAATCTAGTAAATCAATTTCATCCTCGTAAAAATTTTTCCATCAGTCTCTTCTGAAACTACGAGCTCAGATAGTATATAATAGAGAAGGAACGTGAATTTTCGATCTGCGTTTCAAAGAATCATCTCATATGGAACAATTAAAACTTTTATTATGAAATAAAATCAATACTGTTCTTGAGGAAATTAAAATGAAGTTCCAGATCAGTTGTTTACATGAATTACGTGTAGTTTAAAGTTACCACTCGCATTGCGGTTTTCATGAATAACAATGAAGCTATTTGATACATATTCTCAGCTTTATTACATTTTTCTTTTAATCTAAAGTCATTCTTTTTTACGAGGAAACCATTGCGCATTTAAAAAGCTTCCATTTTACCCCAAATCCTTTGCCAACCATGAACAGGAAAAACCTCTAAAAAAGTTTGTATCAAGGGAAGTTATTTTTCAATAGTGGAAACTTTTCACACATTTTGTAATTCTTCCTTGAGGCTTATTTTCTGTACAATATTCACCAAATGATAAACCAGACTATATATTTTCTTGATGCACGAGTCTTTATTTTAAATAATTTATTTTTCAAGGTCGCGACTGAATATATATATTCAATTGTGAAACATCTAACAAATCAATAAATGTTCAGCCATGATAAAACACAATACCATATGATCAGCAATGTATATTAAATGACTTTTTAAAAATTAAAAGAATTTCTGGAGAGACTTTCATGCTCTTGATTTAATACAATGTGCACGTATAATCAATAAAATTTAATTTAAAATTCAGGTCAAAGACCTATCATTTCATAAACCTACTTTTAAATGATACTTTTAATTTTAACTGAATAATTAAAGAAATAAAATTTGATTTTTAAAAAACTTTACTCACCTTCCATTGATTGAAATATTTCGTCAGGATGTAAGATCCACCAATTGTGCTTTTGACAAACGTAGTAAATTCTCAAGATCAAAGTTATCAGAAAAACAATCCATTCGGAATATCTTGGGAATAAATCCGACTCTAACCTCTGTTCTCTCTTAATGGAACTTTCACAATTTCTTCCGGATTTTCGATATCCAAATTGTGAATCTGGCAGACCCATAATTCCATTGTGGTTTCCTCTTTGATCCTTAGATCGACCCACCCCCTGCTTTTTACGCTGCTTCATCGAGATTTTTTTTTTGAATTCAGAATTTACTTTTAAATTTCTCGATTTTTGAATTGAAATCACGGTGAATTATTACTGTGTATATCGTTGCATCTGCGTAAGCCGTCTACCTTGTGCAGCAATCGATAAGAAATAAATAAATGATGAGGCATTGGAAATCAACTCGTCCTCGTCGGCAACATACAGGAAGTCAACTTAGTCAATATTAATAAAATCACATCCTAGTCAATTACATTCCAGCTCGCAGGTATCGTTTTGTACAGATGTTGTTTTTTTTTTCGAAGAAAAAAGAATCATTTGCATACTGTGTCTTCATTGTTAGAATCCATTTTATCACGTGGTCATAACTAGAATATATTTTCTTCTTAATTTGGGTCACTCTGGCAATTACCCCATGAAACTAATAACGATACACGTTCATGCTCCCTCAAATACTCGCACTATCAGTATACTAGAATGTTTACAAGTCGTTGGAGCATGTATTTAGATAAGGTGTCCGTAAGAAAAGAAATCTTCGTATTATTGTTGAGATGAAAAAGAAACAAGGAAAGGCATGCCATCAATTATCGGATCTAGGACTTAATGAGAGTACGCATGACTTTAAAACAATTACGCTAAGTTTTCTTTATTTGCTTTAGGTTAACCTAAAAAAAATACTGGCTTTTTGAAAAGTATAATGCAGATGAAAATAAAAATGATAATTTTTCAATTTCGCTCCTCATTGTTAAAATAATTGGAGTTATAATGTACGGTCAACACGCAAATCTTGTAGTCGTTTTAAATTGTCTTCAATCAATGAAAAAAATCAACAACAATTCAAAAATTTCAGACGAAAACGACATACGGTGGATTAAGAATTTTAAATTAATGTGTTTATATTTCACATAAAGAGCGCTTCGGGAATATTTTCATTCCTTAAATCTTTGTGAAAATATTTTCTTGATGTTAAAAAAAATTAATAGAGGTGAAAAAATTTGGACTTTAAATAGAATGTTTGATGTTCAATGCCGAATGATTAAAAATATGAATTTAAACTTCTTTGTTCTGACAGATAGTACTATCCTTTTTAAATGGAACATTCCTTGTGCAAACATATTGTCCGGCGTCCATCTGTCCAGCCGTCTGCCTGTCCCTCTGTAAACTTTGCTCATTTTATATTTTTTTCTTAAGGACGACCAGGCCAATTTACCGGTAAAAAATGGTGAGGGGTAATCGGTCTTGTTCATATAAAGGGCTACCCCTTTTCTAAGTAGAGATAATATAATAAAGATTAGAATGTGAAAAATACTGGAATCTTTTAAAATCATTTTTGAGTACTATTGGGTCAGAAATAAAGATCGAACTTGCATACTTGCTTCATCACATATAAAGTGAGTCGCCCGCGTGACGTAGTTCTTACAGCGTCTGTTTCTAGAGTCGCGACTTCGCGGGTTCGAATCCCACTGTGGGACGTGGAGACCGATCCTTCGGATGAGACAGTATAAACCGAGGTCCCGTGTCGCAGTGGGTGCTGGCACAAAAAAGATCAGTCCCTGCATGCTCAATGGCCCTAAGTGCCGAGTATAGGAAGAAGAAATTTTTAGCTCTCCACCGGCAACTTGTGGCGTCTCTATATGAGTAAAAAATTCTCGAAACAAACAAACATCAAATAGTGTAGATTCAGATTAGTTCAGTTCATGTCCCTGAGGGTAAAGTGGATAACACATCATAGGGATTTATAAGAAAATCTTTTAAAATCCTCCCAAATGCATTATTTATAGTTACCATAGTTACGTCCACATTTCAAATGCAATGGACCGAATTTTCTCAGCTAATGATATAATAAACGATTACTAATTTGAAATTTAGATAATACTGAATTACTGTCATCTTTAGTAAAGCTATTATTATGTTCCCCAAACGAAGTTGGGGAACATATTGTTTTTACTCTGTTTCTTATTATTATGTTCCCCAAACGGAGTTTGGGAACATATTGTTTTTACTCTGTTTCTTATTATTATGTTCCCCAAACGGAGTTTGGGAACATATTGTTTTTACTCGGTTTCTTATTATTATTTTTTTTTTTTTTCTTATTTGTTCTCCGGTACTTTTTTGTCCGCGAGTGTTCTCAGAAACTGGTCACCCAACTGACCTAAAACCTTTTTAGGGTTAATAGGTGTGTAGTGTAGGTGTGCGGAACGAAGGTCATTTTGCGCGCATACGCCTGCACGTGCGTGCGCGTGAAATGAGTAAATTGACTGATATACTTAATATAGCTATAACTTTTACATTTTTTGATGAAATGCTTTGAAACTCATTACATAAGGATACGTTAATAGTGTTAATAGTATGACACTGTCAAATTAGCACGAACTCACGCGCATGCACGTGCGCCTTCCTCTGATTGGCTGAAACAAAAATCTCAATATTTCTGTTGTTTTCAGACGAAATGCTTTGAAATTTTTAACATTGTCATGAATTAGGATATCCTACAATATAATATGGAAAAAAATTCATGAAATAACGCGCATGCACGTGCGCTGCAATCTGATTGGCTGAAAGTTTAAATGGCTATATCTCCTTTATTTTTTGACGAAATGCTTTGAAATTTAAAACATAGTCATGCATCAAGACATCCTGCAATATAATATATATAAAAAAATTCAAGAAATCACGCGCATGCACGTGTGCTGCAATCTGATTGGCTGAAACTTTAAGAGGCTATATCTCCTTTGTTTTTTGATGAAATGCTTTGAAATTTAAAACATAGTCATGCATTAGGATATTCTACAATATGATTTAGAAAAAATTCTTGAAATCACGTGGATGCACGTGTGCTGCAATCTGATTGGCTGAAACTTGAAATGGCTATAATTCCCTTGGTTTTCAACCAAACAGGATGGGATTTAGAACATAGATAGATATAAGGGCCTCTAACAAGAAGGTATGGTCATCATGCACGTGCACGCACGTGCGTGCATTTGGAATGAGTGAAATTAGAAATACACTTGAATGAGTGATTTTTTAATACTTTTGGACTAAATGCTTTAATATTAAGTATATTTAAATATATAGAAAGTGTAGACAAGATTATATGATCATTATGCACTGCATTCACATGGGCACGCATGCAATGTTAAAATTTGAATATAATTGGTATCCTTTTGGTAAAACGTTGTTAAAGTAAAAAATGCACAGATGTTGTCTTATTTGATTAGGCTTACAGGGAATATGGCACCAAAAGGGAGTTGGGGAGCGTTTGGGGAACATCTGTAACGGTTCCCGTTACAATTAGCACTAGTTATGTTCCCCAAACGAAGTTGGGGAACATATTGTTTTTACTCTGTTTCTTATTATTATTATTATTTTTCTTCTTCCTGGGAAAATTTTGTCCACGAGTGATCTTGTAAACTACACATCCGACTAGGGTAAAATGTTTTTAGGGTCAGTAGACATGTTATGTAGATTTGCCGAACGAGGGTCATTTTGCGCGCACGTGCTTGCAAGAGCATGCGCGTGCTGCAATCTGATTGGCTGAAAGTTTAAATGGCTATATCTCCCTTGTTTTTGAAGAAATGCTTTGAAATTTAAAATATAGTCATGCATTAGGATATCCTATAATATGTTATAGAAAAAAATCATGAAATCAAGCGCATGCACGTGTGCTGCAATCTGATTGGCTGAAACTTTAAATGGCTATATCTCCTTTGTTTTTTGATGAAATGTTTGGAATTTTGAAATATAGTCATTCATTAAGATATCCTTTAATACGATAAAGATCAAATTCATGAAATCACGCGCATGCATGTGTGCTGCAATCTGATTGGCTGAAACTTCAAATGGCTATAACTCCCTTGTTTTTCAACTTAACAGGATGGGATTAAGAACATAGATAAATATAAGAGATTCCTACAAGAACGTGTAGTCATCATGCACGTGCTTGCACGTGCGTGCACGTGAAATGAGTTAAATTAAAAATACACTCGAGTAATTGCAATTTTTAATACTTTTGGATTAAATGCTCTGATATTAAGTATATTAAAATATATATTATATAGTGTAAACAAGATAATATGGTCGTTACGCACATGAACACGCATGCAATGCTTAAATTTAAATATATTTTGTATTCTTTTGGGGAGAACTTGATTAAATCTAAATTCCATAAAGTATTTCTTATTTAATAGACATTACAGGGAGTATGGCACCAAAAGGGAGTTTGGGAGCGTTTGGGGAACATCTGTAACGGTCCCCGTTACAATTAACACTAGTTATTTTTCTTCTTCTTCTTCTTCTTCTTCTTCCTTCTTCTTCCTCTTCTTCCTGGAATTTTTTTGTCCGGGAATGATCTTGTAAACTGTTCGTCCGATGTAGGTAAAACCATTTTAGGGTTAGTAGACATGTTATGTAGATTTGCGGAATCAAGGTCATTTTGCGCGCACGTGCTTGCAAGAGCGTGCACGTGCAACACGTGAAATGACCAATATAATAGATATAGCCACAACTTTTCTTTTTTTAGATGAAATGCTTTGAAACTCATAATGTAAGGATATATTAGTAGTATAGACATGACGACATGGTGAAAATAGCAAGATCTCACGCGCATGCACGTGCACTTCGCTCTGATTGGCTGCAACTAAAGTCTCAATATCTTTCTTGTTTTTTGACGAAATCCTTTGAAATTTTGAACATAGCCATGCATTAGGATACCCTACAACATGAAATAAAGCTATTATCATGAAAACACGTGCATGCACGTGCGCTGCAATCTGATTGGCTGAAACTTTAAACAGCTATAACTCCCTTGGTTTTCAACCAAACAGGATGGGATTTGGAATATAGATAGATATAATGGAGTTCTACAAGTAGGTATGGTCACCATGCACATTCATACACGTGCGTGTACATGTACTGCAATCTGATTGGCTGAAACTTTAAACAGCTATAACTCCCTTAGTTTTCACCCAAATGGGGTGGAATTTAGAACATAGATAGATGTAATGGACTTCTACAAGAAGGTATGGTCACCATGCTCATGTATGCACGTGCGTGCACGTGAAATGAGTAAAATCAAACATACACTTGAATGAGCGTATTTTTTAAATAATTTTGGATTAAATACTTTAATATTCAGTGTATCAAAAATATAGATTGTGTAGACAAGATGATATGGTCATGACGCAAATGCATTCACATGTGCACACGTGCAATGCTAAAGTTTAAATGATTTTTGTACACTTCTTTGTAAATGTTGTTAAAATCTCAGATGCATAGAGTTTGTCTTATTTAATGAAGCTTACAGGGAATATGGCACCAAAAGGGAGTTGGGGAGCGTTTGGGGAACATCTGTAACGGTCCCCGTTACAATTAGCACTAGTTATGTTCCCC